GGTGTAATGAACTGTCAAGAGACCAGTTCTGCCATTTAGTAAGCCAAGTGACTGTGCAAATTAATCTTTTTTCATTTCAACTTTTTTCCTGCAAAGTTATGATAATAAGAGTATCTGTTGTAAGCAGTAAATGGGATAATAGATATCAAGTCTTTCGCAAGATTTTATAAAATTAACTGATTCTGATGGCTGCTTTCTTCTATTTTTAAGAATTAGATATATATTTGACTTCAAATGGATCAAAAATATTTAGCAGCACAGCCTAGCATCCCTTAACTTTTGTGCTAGTGTTAGACTAGAATGTAGTGTATGTCATTGAATTGGAATTTAATCTTTTGCAAATCTTCGTACCAGAATTCAGTGATTTTTGGCAATTTTAACTTCAGACTGCAAATAACCTTGCTTGGTGATGATGATGTTGCCTTGACTTCTCGTAGAATTCTGGACCCGTGTAACATTGCGTAGCTTCTGGGGCTGCATTTCGCAGACCTGTATCCCAGGCGGTACTTCCAGCTCGCAGTTCTGTACAGAACCACACGTCACGCCCTTGACTTTTATGGAGAGCTGCGTGACATTTTAACTTCAGACTACAAATAACCTTGCTTGGTGATGATGATGTTGCCTTGACTTCTCGTAGAATTCTGGACCCGTGTAACATTGCGTAGCTTCTGGGGCTGCATTTCGCAGACCTGTATCCCAGGCGGTACTTCCAGCTCGCAGTTCTGTACAGAACCACACGTCACGCCCTTGACTTTTATGGAGAGCTGCTATAAGAACAATGACAGTAATACAGAGTTGGCATAATAGTAATTACAATAAGAACAACAGGGTCACCAGCAGTTTCCTTTCTGATTGTTATCAGGCCACTCTTGCCTAATTAGCCACCCTAAACTGAATAAAATTCTGCATAAACATTTCTTACCTGTTCCTCACTGTCCCCCCCTAACAAACTCCCCCACAACAAAAGCCCTTTCTCCTAATTATCTAAAGCTTGCTTTATTGCGTGGGCCCTCGTTCTTGTTTTATTGTTCACTTTCCGAACTCTGTCCACAGTCCCCTTGGGTAACAGTGTCATTTGTCATATATAAACGACCAGCATATGCTTGGTTTACTTGATTTTATATTATGCCTTGTGAATGGGCAGACCTTGTTCTGCACTGCAGGGCAGGACTGTGAAAATGAGCATTTTTCCAGGTTTAATTTTGTTGTTGTAACAGCGCCTCAGTAATACTCTCGCACCTGTCTCCTTGCGTGCGTGTATGTACAAGAGCGTCTCTGGGCTGTAGCTACCCAGAAGTAGAAGTTTTCGTCATTGGGCACGAGCATCTTCAACGTTACCAGATATTTGAAATTGCTTTTTAAAGTGTCAATTAATTTTTTTCCTTAATGTTTTGATCAATTTTTTTAATTTTTTGAAGTCCAGGTTTTTTAGGCAGCAATCGTGTCATTGATATTTTTGATGATTTTTAAATCCTGTTGGCAGAAATGAACTTTTTCATATTGTATGAAATTAATCTAGATTGGGGTCAGCAAACTAAGTCCTCACTTGACATCATGGGTCGACTCTGGGACTTTAAGTGAAACAATGTATAATGAAACAGTTTACCACAGGCTAATTGATAGAAACGATTCAGCAATGTCCTTTCTGCATTCTGTTACACCTGACCATTGTCTTTCTGGTAGCTTCTAGTTTTCTGTTCTGATTTATTAGCTCCCTCCTGTCTAACCTCGTGCTTTCTCTAGAACTCTGGAATTATTCTGCCTTTATCCTCCCCAGAGCAGCCTGCACTCCTGGGGTCAGCACAGCTGCCTGTGCTGTCCCTCCCCGCTCTGCAGCCATGCGCGTCAGTTACTGCAGTGGCGGTTGAGTGATGCCCAGGAAAGTAATATCACCGTACTGATGCACTCGTTCTGAGTGACCTAACACAGGTGTGATCTCATTGCTGTTCAGAATTATTCCTCGATTCTTTTATTGGAAGGAATCTTTGTTTTATTTTTGCTTCTCTTTGTGACATTCTCTGTATAGTGATTTTTCTCTTCACTATATTTTTAAGAATATGTTTAATTTCTCCTATAAAACCACAAACTCATTGCAGGCACTTAATAAATATTCATTTAATGAAAGAAAATGAGTGGTTCAGTCAGTGCCTCTGTATGTCAGCAAAAAGATGAAAGCGTTGGATGTTTGTAATCTTCCCTGCCTTTGATTTTGTGTGGCTCTTTAATTTGCTGACGAATTGAAAGTCATCATAGTAATTCTGCACTTTGACATCTTACAGAGCTGAACTAAGACATGTGAAGTCCTTGGGACAGTTCATGGTACATGGTAAATGTTCAATAAATGTTAGCACCTACATTTGTGATTACATATTTTTAAATTTTAATCTTTTGCAATGAAATACTTTGAATGAACTGTATATTTCTGAGGCTTGCTACACTGACTGTATTGGGCATCTTTTTTTGCCTTCATGAACTGAGTAGAATTTGAGTTATTCTGCCCCTCTTACTCTCTCTCATTTTCGTATCTCGCTACTCGCAGCAAACAAATTAAGTTGATTTTCTCTTTTTAAACCGTTTATGGGACTATCTTTTCATTTTCATCCCATTGTTTGACCTGAATCCTCATCATTTCTCACCTTTCCTATTTTAAGAGTTTGATAACTAGTCTATTTCTGGTCTCATATGTTCCTTCATGTCATCCTTTATATTGTGGCTACAGCCATCTTTGCATAAAACTCCTGTTATCAGTTAACTCCCCTGAGACAAACCTGATGCCTACAGGGTAAAATGGAAGCTCGTTTTTGACGCGCTCCTGGCCTCCACCTTATGGGCCTTACTGATTGTCGCACTCTCCCCGCACCTGGACTAAATTCTTAGTTCTTCTCAAGTTCCTTAGGTGTGTGCATAATTGAAAAGTCAGTGACCTCTGAATAAAGACCTTAAGAGCGTTTTACAATTAAAGTGCGTACAGCACCTCTATCTTGGTTCATCAGAGACCTTTTTGATTTCTTCCCGGGTCCTGATGTATTTCATATTTTTGAGGGAACAGAATAAATCAACTGAGGTCTCACCTAAAATGTTACTTTGTCTAGGAGCATCCCGGCGTCTAAGAGTCCCTTCCCGTGTCCCATTGGCACCTGTCGCCTGTCTCGATCCTAGAACTTGCCATTCTGTATGGTAATTATCTTCGTAAAATGGTGTCTTACCCGAAGCTAAATATCTGTGGCCCATTTTAATTTGTGGCATTAGTTGACATTCTGCTAGGGCGTGCCCATGTGCTTCAGTCAGTCAGTTTTTTTTTAAATTGATATAGATTATTAAGGAAATACTTGAGCCAGTCTCTAATTATGTCTCCTAATGTCTGGGCCCATGGTTTTCATGGGATAGAACATGAATCTTGTTCAAAATAAGGTATGTGTGGTCTACAGCCATGCCGCCCTGAACGTGCCCAATCCCGTCTGATTTCAGAAGCTAAGCAGGGTCGAGCCTGGTTAGTACTTGGATGGGAGATCACTTAGGAAGACCAGATGCTGTAGGCGTAAGAAATAAAAAATAAGGGATTGTAAGCTGACAAGGTCCTTGCAATCTGTGAGGTCAACCAAGTGTTGCCTCGCCTAAAAAAGAAAAATAAAAACAAATAAGGTATTTGTGCGTGTATGTGTGTTTGTGTATGTGTGCGTGTCTACATGCACATACACATATATGCACATCTGTTGGATTCTGAATCGTGTGGGGAAGGGTGTCAAGAGAAGCTGGATGCTGAGAAGAACAGCGAGTCTAGGGAGAGAACATTCACAGATGAGAAGGACGGCAGCGCTGTAGGACTAACCGTGTGTCAGTAGCTGAAGGGAACAGCTGTGGTTCATAGAAGCAGGTTTTTAAAAAAGTACCCCGTGACTTACTGTGATGTGATGACTGTGTAATGTGAGAAAGTAGGTAGGTGTGCAGTAAAAAAAAAAAAAGCCTAGTGGTTTTCACACAGTATATGACATTTTTGATATTTAGCAAAGAGAAATGTGAAAATTCAGAGATGTTAAATGTCAAAAAATGTATATTTCTGCATCAGCGATATGCAGCATATCACTGGGAAACCAACCACATTTATAGGGATTCTCCTGTCGATTGCTGCTTACTAAAAATTGATAGAATTTTATTACAAGAAGTCCACACCTTTCATCTTTGGTACACAAGAAAGGAAAAGAGGTTTTCCATCAACTGGATGAAGTGCTGAGCGGCGGATGTCTAAGGGCGATCCAGACACAGGCTGAGTGAGGAGACACTCAGGAGGGTGACACTCTGACTGGTGCTCCTCAGACTGCCTTGGGAGAGTGATTGCCTGTGGCCAGGAGAGCGGCTGAGAAGAGCGCTGTGGCCCTACAGGTGCAGACCATCAGTGTTCCCTGGCCGTGTCAGGTGACGGCAGAGGGCCTGAGGGCAGCACGTGTCCTGGCAGTGCTCAGGGAAACACTGTGAGGTCATATCACGGATTCCAGGGTTCCCATTCCATTTTCAGGATTTGTCGCAGAGTCATGGAATAGCCCTGAGGTCTTACTTCTCGTCAGAGAGGGCTGTTGATCTAGTGGACTTCATCACAAACTGACAAGTGGACCCACTCAGAACCTGCCCCTGGTTTAGCCTGGGGACACATGGATGTTCCCTTCACTGGTCTTCTAGATTAGACTGGCCCATCTTCGGCGCCTAGCACGGTGCCTGATGTATAGTAAAAATGTGGGTGCGTGGGTGACAGATGAGGACCGAAACATCATAATCACCGCCTTTCCTTTGTATTGAGGTATAGGTTTTGGAACATAGAATGTCTTTAATTTTTGATGCACAAATAGCACTTAGTGAAAAGAGGCATGCTAAAGAAACTAATTTAATGAAAGACGGACTTTTGTTTATTTTTTGCCTGTCTCTTATCTCTACATTTTTACTTCATAGAAAGACATACATGTGGTTGTATTTGTGAAGAACTGAGCAGTTGTTTTCTTTTCATGCAGGGACCTGAATTAATGAACAAATACGTGGGCGAGTCCGAAAGAGCAGTGAGAGAGGTAAGAGGCTGTGCCTGAAGCGGAGCCCCGCGGGAGAAGCGCTGTCCTTGGCCTGGGGCCGTTTTTTTGGGGGGGGTTACGGCTTTCGAAATTTCCAGATCTACATTCCAGTGGTCTGTTTTTTTCTTTAGGCCAATATTAGCTTATTATTTAAAAATGTAGTTTTGATCATCTATAATACTTTATTTTTTAAATCATAGTATTACCAGCCTCTGGTTTTACCAAATAAAGATTTTTTTTAAACAAATGCCAGCATTTCATTTAAAAAAGGGTATGTGTGTACTTATAAAGAATGCATGATTTCCGAATGAGCTTTAAACCCTTTAAACTAGGCAGTCCTTGAAATTAAATGAGCTTAGTACAGGAAAATTCCCCGGTACACTCTTCATTTTACTTATTTTACCTTTGCCTGGTGACTTACCTAGTGCATTCCCACCTCGCTGCTAAGTATTAAAACCTGTGCCTGATCCATAGGCCCCTCCACACTGCAGAAGCCGCACTGGAGTCAGGTAACCATGGCACTCTGGCTACACGTCGCGGCTTTTCCTGAGTGGAGGTTGTCCTGCCTCACACAGGCAGCGTATGTCCTCTGCGAAGCTCAGCAAGGGCAGGAAGGGGGTGCAGACGGCAGTGGAGTGGATGGTCTCCAGTGGTGAAATACCTGAGTATTAGAGATTACAATGCTTTTCCATCTGAGAAAAAGTTTGGTTACTTTTTGTCTTTTTTTTTTTTTCAAAAGTGGATAATGGCCGTCGTATAAAACATTAGCCGATGACAGCACCATTATTGATTAAAATGTGAAAAAGGTGATGTGTATTAATATTAATGTTTTGGTAACAGTTTTATATTTTTATGGTCATGATACGTGTGACTAGAAGACGGGGGCCGTGGCTACAAGTAAGGCACGTTTGGCTTTCTTTGTGCCTATGCGGACTTCTTCCAGCCCATTTCCGTGTGTCACCCCCAGGCTCTCTGGCCAGTCTCTGATGTTGATAGTCTGAGTGACGTCTGGTCCGACTAGCCTGTGCTCTTCCAAATTTTGGCCATTTGTCTCGTCCTGGCTCTACATCAACTGTTACGTTCCCTTACATTCTTCGGAGAAATGAGCAGGCATGTGGCTTTGAGTTTATGGGTATTTTATATGCTAAGCTGTGGTTGATTATATATTTATCATTTTTCTTTTAAACATGTATTTATGATAGTTAATAATAACTGTCATTTACTGAGCTCTTACTATGTTTTAAGCATTGTGTTTAATGCTTTTTAAGTTCAGTTCTTAAAATAATCTTCACAGGTTGGCATGTATCATTATTTCCATTTGATAGATAGGGGAACTGAAGTTTAGACAAGTAAAGCTGAAAGACACACAGCTACTGAGTGGTGGAGCTGGGGTTTTAGCTGAGATGTCTGATTATGTAACCAGATTGCCTCCTGCACACCTCTGTGAACATGTGGGGTTGTCTTGTCTCCGTTTGCAAGTAAGCACCGTAGAAGAAGATGCCCTTACATCATTAGGAAGTGTGCGAACATCTGGTATAGGTCGTGTACAAAATGTTTGGGCTCATTGACTTGTACATAATGGATTTAGCTCTAAAGACACTTTTCAAACCGAAACCAACTACAGAGTTTTTGGAGTTTGCCAGTCTTTAGTTAACATGGCGCTCTTTCCGCCAGGTCTTCCGGAAAGCGAGAGCGGTCGCTCCTTCCATCATTTTCTTTGATGAACTGGATGCCTTAGCGGTTGAAAGGGGCAGGTAAGCAATACTTAATAGGATGGCTGTTAAATATTAACAGTTACAGTATGGAATAAATAGCATTTCTCATACACATTTTATTTATTAATACATTTGGCCTGATAGAAAACATTTTTCAATTCATGTAGTTTTTTTCTCTTATACCCATTAAATTAGTTTATGTTATCACTTTACAGTACTTTAGTATACAATTTTAAGAAACCCGACATCTATTAAGGGCATTCGAGTTAATTTTTATAGTTTATTATCTATAGAGATCGCTGGCACTATCATAATTTGAGTTGTTATAAATACTTGATTAAAACTGTAAACAAAGCTCAGTTAAGAATACTTGTATGATAAAGTAGAACCCAGTTATAATAAAAGATGTATACATAATTTAGTATTCTCTGGATTAAATCATGTTTTCTAAAATATAATTAGGTACAGTAGAATAAAAATTAGTATTGATAGTTTTGATCCTGAATCTCAGGCAATAAAGACAATTGTGTCATTTCAGATATATATATATATAAGAACTGTTTACAAGTATGGTTATTTTCCTCTACAAATGTTTAGAGGTCCCTTAAGGACTGTGTCCTATAAGCATTTCCTGTTGGAGAAGGTTAACTTGTGTGCTTGGCGCACAGCTTCCTGAGGTGGGTGTTGGTTACAGAAGTTTGTGGATGGTCATTGCAGTGCCGGCTCCATGTGAGTCCCCGAGTCCCCGGCGCACTCCTCCTCCCCAGATGGGGCCGCCTCCTCGCAGGAGGGTGTAAGCTGTCACTCGGAATCTTGAGAGGGAGCCTGCCCTGCTCCCCACCCCACCCGCTCCACAGCCTCTAAATACCTGCCAGCCTTTTTATTTTATAGGTTGAAGTATTTGGGCCCTTTTATTACTTTTGAAATGAGATGGCATAAAAGGTTACTAATAGCTCATGTTCACATTCACTACAAGAGAAGAAAAGGAAGCCAGAGAAGTTGGCTGAAGTAGTGTGACCTGCCACATTTATGTGACATCAGGGACATCTGCTTTTAGAGCTAAAAAGGAACAGGGTCGGATACTTTGTTAAATATAAACCAGATGGGAGGTAGACTATGTAAGAGTTCTCATAAAATGCTTTTGAAATAAAATGGTGTGAGAAACCAGACAAAGCACTCGGTGGAAATATCCTGTTTTTGCTGGCAAATTGGCTCAGTAGGTGTCTGCAAATGTGTCAGAGATGCTAATGGCCGGCAGCATCGCTTCCTTCCCCTCACGTCTCCACCGGAGCCTGTATAGTGCACCTCCCTCCCCCCGCCCTGGTGCTCACTCAAATCAAGTACAAATAAACTCCGTGCAGTCAGTTTCCTTTGTACAGAAAAGTTATGGTCAAGTTAGTTGACATTTCAGAAAGCAAAAATGAGACCGGTGAGCAAAGGTAATGCTAAAGGTTCAAAGTACAGTTTTGGTTGTACTTCAGCTGCACTAAGTCTTCCATAGTTCGTTTTTATAGCCATGAGAGTCTCTTAGAGTGATATTCTATTTTCAGGGTTTTTTTTCCCCTAATTGTGTGATGAGCCAGCATTGTTTTATCCAATTAGAGTGCTGTTACCTGAAAACTAAAACAAATAAAACCCACACATGTAATTTTTGTTCTTCAGCTGTTTACATCAAACATAATTTCTAGAAATTGAGGAAAACAGTTATTGATGGATACGAAAAGTATAAAATTCCCAAGATACTGAACCAGTTTTATGCACCGTTAAATAGAAAACACGGAAAAACATAGAAAAATCTAAAAATCCCAGAAACTAGGAGGCTACGTAATATTAGGCTATAGAATATCAGTGTTTTCATTTGTTCAGTTATCTGTTTTCTGCAGTAACATTCAGATCAGAACCACGTGACAAGTCCAAAAATGACAGTGCATTAGAAGACAGTTTCTTCTTACCGAGTTTTAAATTCCAAACTTAAGATGTCTAACAAGTCAAGCAGAGAATTATGATTATACTAGTCCTTACTGTCCTGTGCATGTTAAATCAGTCATTTTGATTATTTAAAGTTACTCAAATGAGCCATGAAACGGAGGATTGTAGGTGGCACCGTGTAAATAGAACAGAGACATACTATTTGCTTAGCTTTAGAAATACTTGTGCTTTCAGATAAGGAGATTTTTTTCACGCTTATAAAAGCGTCTGATTACAACACTATTTTCTCCTCCCTGCTGCATTTAAATGTCTTTGAGACTTGAAAAAATAAGCCTATTTACTTCTCTTAATCTGTCTGCCCATTTAAATCATGGGTGTTCTGAATAAGATTTTTTTTTTTAATCTTATTTCTTATTGCGAGTTGAAGGAAATGTAAGATTACCTTTGCAAAGTGCTTCGATGAGCTCTATAACATTTGGGAAAATTGAAAATCTGTCACATTAGCCTATCTCTTTGGACACTAGCTAATGGAGGAGGTAAGGCACAGCAGTGGAGAAGGGACCTGAATTATACCGGGCTGAATTATACATGGGTATTACATTAGGTAACACTCATGCAGTGCTTCTTATGTCCTAGGAACTGCTTTAAGTGCGTTATAGGTAAGGAAAAAGCTGGCAGGAAGGCCTCCGCATTAATGCTAAGTAGAGCAGTTGGCTCCTGTACGCCACTCCTCCTCCTGGCGAGCTTAAATGTTACCTATTTCAAGGTTCACAGTGGGGAGGGGAGAGGCTGGGCAGTAATCATCAGTCGACCCTGTCCTGGACAGCAGCCCTATGGTGGGAAGGTGTACTGTATTGTCATGGCCCAACCTCCTGACTCAGGTAGTGGCCCCTGACCAAGCTGGAGATGCCTAGAGCCGCTTCCTCTGCCCCGAACACGCCAGCCTGTCATGGATCCTGAATTATTCTGTCAGCCGACGCTGATGGCCTGGTGGCACCACACCTCAAGCAGAATTAGAAGAGATTTGGAACTGGGAATGTATGTCTGGAACTTACAGTCACTAACTGGAGAGGCCCATCTGATTTACTTGGATTAACTTCCAAATAAGGTGGTTCGGATTGTTTGGACATCCCTCACCATTTACGGCCTTTTGCCATATTAACTTCTGATCATCAATCACAACAGCCCAAGGAGGGGTAGGTCCCAGTCTCGTCTCCCTTTTACAGAGGGACATCTTAGGCACTGGGCACATAAATATCTTACGCAGGTCATGGATCACTAGTAGAAGAATGGGGATTTGAATTTGGGTGTTTCGCCTCCAGAATAGATACTCTGAGCCACCTGATGGCCCACCTACCACACGGCGGATTCCAGGTCTAAGTCGTTAACTCGCTAACCTTGTTCAAGCCCGCATTTAGTATGCGTTCTCCGCTGTGGCTTACATTGGTACGGGCCCTGTCTGTCCAGCGGAGCTGTGGTATGACTCCTTTGCAAGCATTCTTTCATTCGTGAATGAATAAAACAGTGAACAGGACCTAGAGAAATTTCCTTGTCTCCTCTAAGCCTTTTTCTTCATTTGCAAAATGGCAGTAATAATAGGAACAAATTCTAGGTTGTCGGAATTAAATACTTGTAAAGTGCTTCACATAGGACCTGGCATTTCGTAATCACGTAAAAAAACTTGTGTTTCTTATCATTTCTGCATAGGTATTCTTATAGTAATAATTTTCATATAGATAGAGATATAGTACTCGAGATAGAAATGAATCCTGCCCCAACAGAGTTTATAGTCTAGCGGAGGAAACTGAAGTATTTGGGAAATTAAAAAAAGTACTCTACAGGTGACAGGCACCATGACATTTCATCAATCTAACATGCCATCAGTTAAAAGACATGTCATCATTTCACGTATTGTTACTGAAGAAAAATGCAGCTTTAAACTATTAAATGATGCTGAGAAATCACCAGCTCCAAGAGACTTCCCGATTTCAAAAATTTTAAATATGAAAAACGTTCGTATTTTGGAAATGGAAGAAAGTATTGTTATTGACGAGAAAGAGAAGGTAGTCTCTTTTTTATAAAACTAATGCTATTGTATAAAAAACATTTGCAATATTGGTTCATGATTAGAATATAGAAAAGATGATTAAATACATGGGAAACAAAAAAGTTTAAGTGCTAAGTTAAAAGCTGAGTGATACCGTCTGTGGCACTGGAGTATCTGTGGTTTTAATAATTTCTGCCTTGTTTGGCTGTTTCTGCACTTGATAGTCAGAATTCGTTTGCATTTGAAGTGGTTGGGGAAAACACTTAAGATGCTCTGAGCCAGCTTTCATTAAAAATGAGGATTCCAGGCTTAGCAGCATTCTGAAACAGGCTCTGAGTTTTAAAATAACCGTCAGGAAAGGGAGTAGCCTCTTGCAGCATATTCAGAGATTTCAGGTAAATTCCGTGAATTCCTAACACTAAGCACTGTAGAAGAAATTTTTGTAGGTGTCATTTCTCTAAATGACACTTTTCAAGGAGGGTCATAAATTGTTTTAATGGAATTTTTATGGTGGTTTTTAAAATTTCATAAAATCATAAAATTTTATAGCTGGAAAAATTTTTAGAAGTCATCTAGTGCAAGTTTTTATTCTTCGAAAGGAACAGAAGCCCCTAGAATCTGAGAAGGGGCACAGAGCTCCTTCGTGTCCTCAACAGGACTGGATCCTGTCTTCTGATTTAGTGTTGCTTGAACCGCCTCTGAAACCATCAAGGTTTGGGATAGAAAAGGTGTGTTCATGTCGGGGTAAAAAATTCTCTTAATCATTGAAAGAAAATTTGATGTTTAAGAAACTAATAATAACCACTTATTAAATACTTTTGACCGCTATTTTTTTGTAAATTTATGTTTCAAGGTGCTAAAAATTCAATGCCCATTTCCTGGTATGCAGTTTTTCCTAATTTATACTCAACCACCTCAGAGATAATTTTCACACTGGTAGACTTTTGATGTTAAACAGAAATGCTGTGGAAAACAGCAAAAGGAGAAATGGAAAGTGGGTAGCAGGTCTTTCATTTTAATGATTTCGTAACGTATAGCAGGGTGCTATGAATATTTTGTGTTT